ATTTGGCCATTGACAGCCAGATCTGGCCGTATTTGCTCATTAACGACGGCCAAAGATACGGCCGTCATTGATGGTTAACGACGACTATATGTTGGCCGTCGTTGACGTCTGGTTACGGCCAAAGATCTGGCTGTCAACGACCAGATCGTTGGCCTTTAGCCTTAGATCTGGCCTTTTCCAGCCAGATCCACCATGGATCTGGTCGAAAAAGTCTAGATTGGTGCACTACTGGCCAGATTCAGCCGGTAGTGCACCATTATATTAGATTCCAGCCAACTTTCGGTAGTGGTGGCCGGAATCTGGTATAATGTGGGTTTAGTGGTGTTTTTGCAATTTCGAAAAAAATATTTAGAGGTATTTAATTAAATTAACAAATTTAGGGGGTTTAAAAAAAGTTGAATAATATTGGATAATATTGTGAGTTTTTGGGCATTTTTTTGTTTAACTTTTTTGGGAATACTAATAATAGTATTCCTAAAAACCAACCAAACGGAGCCTATACTTTTTAAGTTTTTCTACGCAAAACACCAGAGGGAATCACACACAGCCACTCTGAGCACTCTCTGAAATCGCAACCCAATCTCAATTAACTCCACTCTCTTAAGTCTGAAATCTCAACCATTGTTCAATCTCAATTGATGACAACAACATCTCCCTTCCTCGTTAGAAATCGACGATGACATTAACTCCTCGCGGAAATTGAGACTCGACACCTCCCTTGCTCGACGACAACGACGCCTTCCTCCCTCTCTGGAAGTCGACGACAACAACACCTCCCTTGCTCGAAATCGACGACGACAATGCCTTTCTCCCTGCTTAAGCTTTTAAAGGTATTCCACTGTAAAAAATGCTTAGTGTGATTTGGAAACGACAACACCTCCCTTTTTTTGGATTTTGCATGTTTCGGCTGAGTTGAATTGTAACGCCCCACTTGAGGTATGTAGCTAATTTACATTGCATTGCTTGAATCTTTATTGTTTTGCTTTAATTGAGTTGTTATATTGTTAACATTGTTTGGTTGGTCATTGGTTGAATGGAATGTGAGTTGGTTGAGTGGTTGCCTGAAATTGTAAGACTTGGTGAATTTTGTGTTATAGACTTCGCCGGGGCGAAAAAGAAGCTTTGCCACGGCGATGAAGTCCTGCAACCTACGGTGTAGGTTCTGTTAAGTTTTCGCCGGGGCGAAGAAAGATTCTTCGCCGCGGCGAGGGCTTGACAAAATGGTATGAGTTTCTAGAGAATTCTTCCTTTGGGGCAAAATAACCATTCTATCCCTAATTAGCAGGAAAAGTGGGGAGTGAAATACAAGGAAATTACATGGAAAATAGTTTAAATGGGGGTGCATTGCAAAGAATTCAAAGGGCAAAAGTGAAATTCCTAAGAAAGTGTAAGGGTAAAATAGGAATGAATGAAGATAATTTGAGCTAAAAAGGGGTTAAGTTTAGCAAACCCTTCATTCTCTATTCTTCCATCGCCTCTTCCATTCTCCATTTCCTCTCAATTCTTCCTTCAAGCTTTAAGGATTTTTGAGGGTTTTAATTAGATTTGGTAGAGAATGATCTAAGGCATCCTAAGGTAAGAATCCTTGCTCTAGATGTGAAATTTACCTATAAAGGTGTGAGGTCTTAAGTGTTATTGTTTAAAGGTGTAGAGAAAAGACATCTACCAAAGGAAAAGAAAAGTGTTAGTGGAATCACACCATCACAAGGTAAGTAAATCCCAATCCAAGTTGATATTTGAGAAATCCTTTGAGTAGAGATTTATTTAGCATGATATATGTTATGTTATTGAAACTGTGTTGAGATGAGTAGTTATTTTGTGGTTGTTAAATCACTCATGAGAAGTGTGATGTGTGATGAGAATGTAGTTTGTGATGAAATTGGAAGTGTTAAGTTATGGGAGGGATTATAGCTTGGTGAGGGAGTTTTCTCCCATTTTGGATGGTTTAAGAGAGGGATAGACTTGTAAATAAAGTGGAGTATAGGTATGCACACTAGTTGTTTGATGAAATGCCTAAGAGAGTATGAGCATGAGTTGTGAACCTTAATTTTTGCAACATTAATATTGGCATTTCCTAAGTGCATTAATGAACCTGAACCATCTATATGCATTAATTGTGCATTTGAGAAGTAGTTTGAGAAAGAGTAGAGAAATTGTGACTAACCTAATCTAAGCATTAAGCTACACTATGAATACTAATTTGAGAAAGAGTAGAGAACTTTGTGACTAACCTACTTTAAACATTAAGCTACACTATGAATACTAGTTTGAGAAGAGTAGAGAAGTGTGAATGAAATACTCTAAGAGTAGAGAGAATGAGAAGAGCATAAGAACGGGTTGGTGCTTTGTGATCTCCACCCGATAGTTTGAAAACGGGTTGGTGCTTTGTGATTTCTTCCCGATAGTTATGAAAAAAAGGTTGGTGCTTATGATCTTCACCCGATCACGAAGAGTGGGTTAGTGCTGTGTGAACTCCGCCCGGCTGTGCCTCCAATAAGATGAGACCGTGACATATAACAGAAGTGAAGAGGCTGTGAAAAAGAGAAAATAAATGAGATGAGAAAGAGTGTAAGGAAAGAATTAAGAAAAAGAAGTATGGGGACAGTCGTAGAGGTATTTACTTACTGAGCATTATTTTGTGCTCACCCCGTTGTTTTTTGTGGTTGCAAGATATTAGGTGAGAACTGTGGGACGGCATCGACAAGCGAGGAGAAATAGCTACATTGTCCACTGTTAATATCATTTTGTAAATGATAGTTTATTTTGTATAAAAAAATGCTTATATGTAATAAAAAAAAAAATTTGGGCCCATTTACTTTTGCTAATATTCATGTCTTCTACTTACTATGTTTCTATGAGTACCCTAGTATAAAGCCGTCATTACATGAATTTTGTTATCTCAAAAATGCTAGGAAGTTTGTATTTGTCTTTGTTTTGAGAAGGGAGATAAGAGTCCGTTAATTAAAAATGGAAAGCTTGCTTGTTGGGTGAAATTTTTGGCGTTGGTCTGGACTCTGATGTGGTTGTCATTAATTCTGCTTGGGGGTGAATTTGTGTTGGGTGGAATTGGAAACAATGAGTGAGAGACAAATGTTTGGCTCGTTCATAATTCTGAAGTTGACTCCCTTTTGGCAAAATTGTTATAATAAAGAAAATTTTTTTTATTATATGTATTTGTATTTTATATGTTATGGACTCCATGAATTGTGGATATTGAAGGATAAGGACTTGGGTTTTGGATTTAATTAAATTGATGTTTGGGTTCAATCATTAAATTGGGGTTCAATGGAAGTAATTGGGTCAATGAAACATAAGAATAATTATTTAAACATATATATGAAGGATATTGACAGATATGATGATGTACCGATCCAACTGATTGGACTGGTGACTCATGACCCGAGCAGTAGAACGAGTTGTCTTCTGATCCTAATTTTAAAACTATGATCGGCTAACGAGAGACCAAAGTGTTGGCGTCGCCAGTGGCTACTCGTGGCCATCTTTTTTTTAATTTTTTATTTAGTATTTTTAATAGTTAATTTTAAAATTATTTACAATATATTTTTGGTTTTTTAATTTTTTTAGTTTTTAATAGTGATCTGATTTTTAATTTTGGAAATATATATATTTAATTTTCATAATAATAAATTTGAATGTTTTCCTTCAACTATATGTTAAGGGGCATTTAGTCTTTTCTCATTTCAGTTAAATTTAACATAATTTTGCCCCTTTTTTTGTTTTAAAACGTTGTCTTTTATCTTTGAAACATTTTTTTATTCATTTTTTTTTTTTTTGTAATTTCCATGTATTCTTTCAAAAATCACTAAGGAGGATAAAATAAATGGAATCAAACAATAAAAAAGCTTTTATCCATAAGCTTCAATGGGTAACAAAAACATCGAATAATAAGGCGAGGAAATCCAAATAATTTACATAGTGGAATAGAAGAAATCAATTAATGGGCCAACAGCCAACTGCACAGAAGACCTTTACTAAATGAACCGTGAAATTCATTGAATGGTATGGGTCATCCTCATTCATTTTCATAAACTACCACAGCATGCATAAAATAAAAGCCAATTAGCAGAGCAGTAATGGCGGGGGCAGAGTGAGAATTTTTGTGTGGAAACATGACTCTGTCCAATCGGTGAATCAGTAAATTAAAAAACAAATACAGAGAGATATTGTCGACAATTTTATTAACTATAGACTTGGTCATTAATTTTGTGAAAACTTTTTATGGCAACTTATATGAGTCATTTATAAGGTGTGTTTTATTACAACCAAAGCACATAAATTGGTGGCGGTTGGTTCCGAAACCTGTCTTTCCTTAAGCTGGTAATTGAAATAAACCATCAAGAATGAGTCTTGGTTCGGTTAACTCACACATCATGGAAAAAATGCTTGTCCTCACATAGGCAAACGTGAGCAATGGGGAAAATTGCGTCCGATTCACATCTGTTATATAATCGGTTTATTGATTATTATTATTTTTGAAACCGGGTGTCGGGCTAGCTTTCGGTTTATTGTTTTTTTTTTTTTATATTTGAATACTCTACAAATCCAAAGATTATGTAAACACAATATATTGTAATAAATGATCAAATATTTGAACCTAGAAACTTACAAGAGGAGTAAACCTTTGACTGTCATTTTGTATTTATTGGGTGGAAAAATAAGAAAAATGGTTGAATATGAAGCATTCAATAATTATTGGCATGACATATTAAATGAAAGGATGCTAATCTCTCTCTCTTTTATATGTTGATAGTATAATTGTAGTTGCAATGTTTAATTAATTTGACTATAGATAGATTTTTTTTTGGTTTATTATTGACCTATTACTATTCTCACTTCCTCAGTCTATTCCTACCCGTTTTAACTCAAATAATCAAGTAAATTATTTCCTTATCGACATTAAAATAAACAAATAATTTACTAATAATTGATGGAATACGGACCACCATTAATTCTTTTTAAAATTGGAAATTACAATGCTATTTAAAATAGAACAACTACAATGCTTTATTCTCTCAATATTGGAAATACACTTGAAAATTCAAGCACTACATATATCTATTAATATCAATCCATCATTTATATGCTTTAATTCACTAATTAATATAACTTAAAATTATATCAAACATTTCCTTTTTTGTAAATTATCCGACATATGATCTTGGCAAAATAATAGCTTTGAGAGGATGCTTCATGACAACAGTGAAAGCATAAGTCTCTGTCGGGTCGGGTGGAGCCCCGGGAACCGGCAACCACTTGAAAGCATGCACCATTCTAGCCAGCAACAAATTAATATGTAACATTCCCAGGCTCCACGCTGGACAAATCCTCCTCCCAGCCCCAAACGGAACCATCTTCACTCCACGTGTCCCAGTCACATCCACACCAACCCCATCCCCGTCCACGAACCTCTCGGGTCGGAACTCTCTCGCATCCGACCACAGATCCGGATCCTCAGTCACCCAGGCTGTGTAAAACTCCACATAAGCTCCTGCTGGAATAGCATACCCGCCCAGCTCAGTGTCCTTTATCGCCGCATGTGATAACAAAAAGTGCCCCGGCGGGTGTCGCCGAAGTGTTTCTTTAACTACGGCATCAAGATAAACCATTTTCTCTACATCTTCTTCTTCAACCAGCCTATCTTTCCCAACACAATCAACGATTTCCTTATATAACTTTTCTTGAATCTCTTGGTTTAACACCAAGTGAAGCAACGCCCATTCAACGGTTGTTGCACTCGTATCAGTGCCCGCGCTTATCACTTCTGAGCATAATGTTACGATCTCTTCGTCGCCTAACTGGCCTCGACCATTCGGTTCCAAACCGAACAACGAATCCACATACGCTGCCCCAACTGGACTCACCATCTCCGAATTAGGGTTCTCCCCTTTTTGGACAAAATCTTTTCTGTTCCTTATAAGCGGAACCAAGCAATCCAGTTGTCTTTTCCTGAGTTGTTTTGCTTCCTTCATTTGGCGGTGAAATAACGGAGTGAGAATAGGCAAGAAATCCGGGAGTTGAGGTGATGTTATGAGCATTACGTCCTTTAGTATGCTTTCAATATGCTTGATCCTTTCTTCAGAGATCTTTGCACCAAAGCACAAACAAATCAATATACTGCAAATGGTGAGCCTGCAGTTACTCATTACCTCAATGAAGCCATTCTCTGAGGCCTCATTCTTGATCCTTTTCATGTGGTATTCCATTGCCCATTTTCTTATCCAGCTGCATTGTTTGACCCTGGTTGGGGTTATCAACTCTGTGACGAAGTTTCTCCTGAGAGTCCTCCAGAGAGACCCGTATTCGGCCGAGTTTATGGCGCATTTCCCGACGCTGAAGACTAGTCTGATCGGAGAATCGGGTGGGCGGGAGGCAAATGCAGGTCCCCTTTGGACAAGAGCTTCATGGATAAGCTGAGAGCTTGTGACAATAACCATAGTACGTTGACCCATTTGCATGGTGAAAATTGGACCATATTTTTTACGTAACTCACGTATTATAAAGATGAAATGGCGGCGTTGGAGGATGACCTGGATCAAGTTTCCGACGAGAGGCCAACCGGGAGGACCTGGTGGCAGCTGGTTCTTGGAGCCACGACGGATTTTAGACAAGTGTCGCCACCACAAACAGAGAAAGAAAAGGGCTGAAAAGATGATAAGGAGGTCTGTTAACTCCATTTTAAGTTGTGGAGAAGAGAAATGAAGGTCAAAAGAAAACAATTAAGTGCACTGGAGGCTGTGACGATTGTTATAGATGGTGAAGGAGGGTGAGTGAATGAGTTTGGTCCAACAACTTATTACTGTATTTATTTTTATTTCAGAGACATTTACTATACGTACGGCGAAATATTAATTGGTTATGTAACTAGACATGGCGGGTAGATATGCTAATTCAATGTTTTTTAAAATAAATCGTGAATAGATTTATTCTAATTAGATTAAAATATAATCATTGTCCAATTATATAAATTTTAAAGTAAATATAAATTTTATATAAATACAAAATTATGTTAAGATGAAATTAATAATTGTATCGGTATAATTATTAATATCAATTATAGGTAAATGTTATTAAATCATTCATCAATTTGAAAAGATCACATGAATATTATATGGTTTAATTATATTTTCAGGATCATCACCTTGTACAATTAATATTATTTTTGCAGATATGTCTTTGATATTCGATATCAGTATTTTGTAGTGAATCATGTATGATATTTAAGATCACCTGAATATTATCAAGATCAACTATTTAAACTTAAAATTTATACTAACATTCCGCAATTTTTGTAACTTATATTCATTTTCAAGTTGCGTTACGCGGGCATGTTTATTATATTTTTTTTACATTATTATTGGTTTTTTTGTGTGTTTAAATATATATTTTTTATATTGAAATTCATTTTATATTAAATTGATAATTAAAAAATCAATAAATAAAATATCCACAAATTGAACTCAAACTCTATATCATCATGGTTCTTCTCAAATATGTCACTATTTGAAATTCGCAATCAAAGTTTAAAACTTTGTCAAGAAAAGCAAAAAAAATTGTAGGATAACCCAATGCGTATTATTGTAAGTCTATAAATCAATCAGAGAAAGAGAAACTTTATTGAAAAATGTAAACTTTTAAGTAAGAGACTTGCAGAGCCAAAGGAAAGAACTGATTTTAATTGTTGAGAAGAGAAAATGAATTATTTTTTTTATTATTATTATTTTAGAAATTAAAAAAAAAAATTAAGAATATTGAGAAGAGAACTCACATAGAAAGCAATAACAGCTCCAGCAGTATAATATGAAAGTAACTTAATTGAAGCATTGAAGAAGCTATGAAGATAAAGGTCCTGTGATACAAATCTATTTGCTGCAATTAAAATTGACCACCACCTATAACAAAAAAAACATTTGATGATAGCATCCTAAAGAAAGATGATAATTGTAAAACCCACAAATCAAACAACAAAATCAATCCAAAAATCAACAAAAAGAGATAGAACAAATACAAGTAAAACTACATATCAATATTTATTTTTCTTTATTATCGCTAAAGTTGAATTTGTTATATGTGTGTGATGATAAAATGAATGGTTCAGTAGCAGATCTATAGTTAATCTAATTTATCGTATAATATATCAAATTAAAACCATATCTTTCTAGTTTCCAAAGATTTAAATTGCTCGTCAATTGAATTTTTATTGAGTAAGTTATGGCTAATTTACTACTGACTGTTCAGTGGATATCGAGATATAGGGAAAACTGAAATGTGTATGATAAAAAAAGGAATGGTTTGATAGTAGGGCTACAGTTTTCTAAATTAAGCATATAATATATCAAATTAATGCTCTGTCTGTCTAGTTTCTAAATATTCAAACCTCTCATTAATTAGATTTTTATTGAGCAAGTTATGGTCAATTTAATACTGACTGTTCAGTGGAAACCGAAATATGCGTGATGATAAAATGAATGGTTTACTAAAGCTATATGGTTCAGTATCAAACATCAGTAGATATTAAATGAAATTAGTTATATTTAGCAACAACCCCTTTTCATGATATATGTATGTAATATAAAAAGATATCAACAAAAAGAGTTAGAACAATTACAATTAAAACTACATATCAATATTTGTTTTCCTTTAAGGATAATAATAATGGTTCAGCATATTATAAATGGTTTACTCAATTAAGCTACATGGTTTGGCAACAAACATTAGCTGATATTTGTGATACAAATAAAATTTGTTATATCTAGCAACAACCTGTTTTTGATATATGTAACATAAAAAATATCAACAAAAAGAGATAGAACAAATACAATTAAAACTACATATCAATATTTGTTTTCCTTTGTCATCACTAAAATTGAATTGTTTTTATGTGTGTGATGATAAAATGAATGGTTTGGCCGCAGGTCTATAGTTATTCAAATTCATCATATAATATATATTAAAGTCTATCTTTCTAGTTTCCAAAGATTCAAACCGCTAATCAATTGGATTTTTATTAAGTAAGTTATGACCAATTTACTATTGATTGTTTAGTGGAAATTGAAAAACAGGGAAAACCGAAATGTGTGTGATGATAAAAGGAATGATTCGAAAGAGGGGCTACATTTATCAAAATTAAGCGTATAATATATTAAATTAAAGACCTATCTATATAGTTTCTAAATATTCAAACCTCTCATCAATTAGAGTTGTACTGAGCAAGTTATGATCAATTTATTATTGACTGTTTAGTGGAAACTGAAATGTGTGATGATAAAAGGAATGGTTTGGCAGTGGAGCTACACTTATCCAAATTAAGTGTATAATATAATAAATTAAAGACCTGTATATCTAGTTTCTAAAGATTTAAACCTCTCATCAATTGGAGTTTTATTGAGCAAGTTATGATCAATTTACTATTGTCTGTTCAGTGGAAGTTGAAATGTGTGTGATGATGAAAAGAAAAATTTGGCAGTAGAGCTACAACTATCCAAATTAAGTGTATAATATATCAAATTAAAGCACTGTCTATCTAGTTTCTAAAAAAATCAATTCTCTCATCAATTGGATTTTTATTGAGAAAGTTATGATCAATTTACTACTGATTATTCAGTGGAAACTGAAATGTGTCTGTTAAATAAATGAAATAAGTTATATTCAGCAACAACCTCTTTTCATGATATATGTATGTAACATAAAAAGATATTAACAGAAAGAGATAGAACAATTACAATTAAAACTACATATCAATATTTGTTTTCCTTTTGGGATAATAATAATGGTTCGGCATATTATAAATGGTTTACTAAAGCTATATGTGTAATATCCCACTTGAGGTACGTATTTAAGAGTTGTTGTATTAGTTAAAAGTTTATTGTTTCAACTTAAATTGAGTTTGTATGTTGAGTTGGTTGAATTGTTGCCTTGAAAATTGGTTGAGTTTTGGTGAAGTTGGAAATCCAATCTTCGCCGGGGCGAAGAAGAAGCTTCGCCGTGGTGAGGAGGAGAAGTTGCATTACGGGTAGGTTNAATAATCGAAAAGGATTTGTTTTTGAAGAAACCTGTTTTTGCCGAACTTCGCTTCTGATCTCTCTCTGAGCCTTTATTTCGTTACCGAAGTGACGAAGTGACGAATATTAATCGAAGAAGACTGATGAGGCGATGACTGATGAGAGACTGATGACGAAGTGACGATGCGGCCGCGATCTGAGACTGAGAGTCGAGAGATCAGAGATGAGATGGATTCGTGATGACTGTGACTCCGTGAGAGGGAGGCGTCAGGCGTGAGAGGGAGGCGTCAGGCGTAAGAGGGAGGCGTCAGGCGTGAACTGTGAAGTCTCAAGTCTGTGATAAAAAATAAAAGACTTTTAGTTTTAGGGATTCATTCAGTTCAAAACAGAATAGAAGGCTTATACGGGTGCCCGCGGGTGCTCACGGGTTCACCCGTATGACCCGTAATTTATTGGACCGGGTACGGGTACGGGTCAAACAAAAATGGGTTTAATTTATTGAACCCATACCCTATATTTTTTACCCAGGTACGAACCGACCCGCGGGTCCATACCCGTTTTGCCAGGTCTAGGTGGAATTGGAAAGAATGAGTGAGAGACAAATGTTTGGCTTGTTCATTAATTCTGAAGTTGACTCCCTTTGTTGGCAAAATTGTTATAATAAAGATAATTCTTTTATTTATATATTGTATTTGTATTTTATATGTTTATGGACTCCATGAATTGATGGATATTGAAGGATAAGGACTTGGGTTTTGGATTTAATTAAATTGATGTTTGGGTTCAATCATTAAATTGGGGTTCAATGGAAGTAATTGGGTCAATATAAACATAACAATAATTATTTAAACATATAATATTAAAGGATATTGATGGATATGATAATGTCACCATCCAACCGATTGACTGGTTGACTCATGACCCGAGCAGTAGAACAAGTTATCCTCCGATCCTGGTTTTAAAACAATGGTCAGGCTAACGAGAGACCAAAGTGTTGGCGTCGCCAGTGGCTACTCATTGGCCATCCTTTTTTTTTTTTTTTATTTAGTATCTTTTTATATTTAGTATTTTTAATTAATTAATTTTAAAATTATTTAACAATATATTTTTGGTTTTTTAATTTTTTTAGTTTTTAATAGTGATCTGATTTTTAATTTTGGAAATATATATATTTTTAATTTTCATAATAATATAAATTTTGAATGTTTTTCCTTTAACTATATGTTAAGGGGCATTTATGTCTTTTTATCATTCTCAGTTAAATTTAACATAATTTTGTCCCTTTTTTGTTTTAAAACGTTGTCCTTTTTATCTTTTGAAACAATTTTTATCAATTTATTTATTTGTAATTTCCAATGTTATTCTTTACAAAAATCAGTAAAGAGGATAAAATATAATGGAACTAAACTCATTATAAACCTTTGTAATTATTATTCCAAGAATCCTAACTTTCATTTTTATATAATAATCCTTTGTATTCTTTATTCAAAATTTCGTTGAAATCTTGCTTTCATGAGAAATAAAATCAATTACTCTTAAAAAAGCTTTCATCCATAAGCTTCAATGGCTAACAAAAACATCAAATAATAAGGCAAGGAAATCCAAATAATTTACATAGTGAATAGAAGAGATCAATTAATGGGCCAACAACCAACTGCACAAGAAGACCTTTTACTGGAAATTCATTGAATGGTATG